TATTTATTTATTTTTCTGTTCGCGTCTACTCTTGTCGATGACGCCCGTGTTTCATAGCCGCAGCAAACTTCTGCACAAGCTTAACCGACAAGATTTTATTTTTAAATTCTAAGCTAAGTTTCGTGCCGGAAATTGTTACCAAGTACACAAATTAGTCCCTCTTGCTCAAACACGGTAAAAGAGCAACTGTTAAGGAGATTGCCGAAACTGTTTGAGAACAGACTACGTGGTTGCTTTAATTCAAAGCGATTTCCAACTAATATAGTCGCTTTTAGAGACCTGTGCACTTTTTGCGAGGGTATTTGGACGCAAGGTTGAGGTGGCTAAGGGGCTTTGGGTTAGGCGACAGTTTGTGCTGCCGGTGCCGCGGTGCACGCGGGCGGGCCCGGCCCTGCAGTCCCTCGGCCCGAGCCGCGGCACGCGAGTGCGCTGCCTGCTCGGCTCGGCGCTCTGCTCCTTGCTCGGCGCCCTGCTTGCTCCTTGCTCTCTGCCTCCGCTTGCCTCACGCCCCGACGCGCCACGCCGCCCGACTAAAAGTTGGTAATCTCCATGGTGTCGGGTGGGCGCGGGCGCCGGGTGCCGGGCCGGGTGTCAACAGGGAGCCCAGCCCGGGCTTTTGTCGTCGCCTCTGCGCTGCGCCCAGCCAGCCTCTCAGCTGCTGCCGCTGTGACCCCTGCTCGTGCTCCTAATCGTGCTCGTGCTCCTGCTCGTGCTCCTAATCGTGCTCCTGCTCGTGCTGCTACTCATGCTCTTGGTCCTGCCTCTTCCCCTGCAACTTGCCTCTTTCTGCTGCCCTCTCTTTCTGCTCCTGCTTTTTGTGCTAAGAACCCACCTCAAACCTGCAACCTCGTAATTTTTGGCAGCCCTTTGTCAGAACTTGTGTTAGGTTTTTATGCAGCAGGAATACTTACTATTGTTTTCTATCGGTATTACGCGTTAATTCTTTTTTACATTTCTGACCATTTGTTTTTCATTAGTATGTGTTGACCGAAAATATACGAAATAATTGACAAATTGATCAGTAATTCCTGCCTGCACCCCTCCCGTAAGCGGTTGTCACACCTTCGGCAAGCAACTGCGTTTTCGAAGCAACCTGTAGTCTACATTAAACATAAGACGAAATGTTATCAACTAATTCGACCGAGTTCGTGCAAATGGTGCACCCGGTTTCAATTCTCTTTTCCCCCCTAAAGCACGTTCTGGTTTGGCTGGGTTTGGCTACTCCGTCCACCCGTAGGTCGTCACGGCCCCTGGGAATTAGTACAGCTGTACATTCTGACGCACAATGCTCGATGGCTGGCATTTGATTGATATGCGCGCCATTCCGTTGTTGTTTACCTAAATGCCTGTCCTGTAGCGCTGCAGTTGTAACTGATGAGCTCCAGCGGCCAGCGCAGCGGAGGCCCCTGTCAGGTAGGCAACAGCCGGCCGTGGAGCACTTCGGTGTGTTGATCGCCGTGGATTGCCTACCTCACAGGCGCTCGGCTCGTGATGACCGCGCCTGTATTCATAGCCGTCAGTCCGCCGGCCCGCCCCCGGCCCGCCC